TATTAGGCGTGAACTAAAGCAAAGCTTACGTGCTGACAAGGAAGCTTGGTGGACCAGTAGGGCTAAAAAAACTGAAGGAGGCAGGAACAGTAGGCAATTACCTCAAGCTCCCCCAGCTAATCCGCACCACTGGTCCCAGAAAACCAGGCGTCAGTGAGACAATCAGAGACAGCGCGGGTGCGCTGATACACAATAAGGAGCGCCATATGGCTCGTTGGGCGGAACACTTTCAAGATCAGTTCAGCTGGCCTCCTGCTCCCAGACCTCTTCCTACTCAGGTGATGCAGGACGAGCCATGGACGGTTAGTTTAGAGCCTCCGTCGGAGGCCGAGGTCCGAAACGCGATCGCACCCCTCAATCGTTTACGTGACGCTGGCCCGGATTCCCTCCCACCTGCATTATTCAAGGATGGAGGTGAGGTCCTCTGCAAAGCAATGATCTCCTTATTCGAATGTATCTGGAAGGAAGTGTCCCGGCTAACTGGAGCGAATCGATTATAGTGGCAATATACAAGAAGGGCAGTCGCACAGACTGTGCGAACCACAGGGGTATTAGCCTAACGCCAGTTGTGACAAAATCATTGGCCTCGATTATCGTTCGTCGTCTCACTGCAGAACGGGAATCTCGGATTAGGGAAGAATATGCCGGTTTCCGCCCACGACGTGGCTGTATAGACCATATATTCACTTTGCGGCAGGTGCTAGAGCAGCGCCACGCATACCGCAGACCGACAATAGCTGTGTTCCTCGATTTCAAGAGTGCGTTCGATTCAGTCGATCGATCGATTCTGTTCGAAATACTTGCGAGGAAAGGTGTTCCCACGAAATATGTGAACATCCTTCGTGCTCTATACTCGAACACTACAGGCCGCGTCAGGGTCTACGGTGTCCTATCAGATAGCTTTCCGACCACAAGTGGCGTTCATCAGGGTTGTCCGATTTCCCCATTTTTGTTCAATTTCGTCGTGGATTCTATCATGGAGTGTTCCCTTGCGGAATCTCACGATGTAGGCGTTGAAGTGCTGCCTGGTGAAAGGTTAGTTGATCTAGATTATGCGGACGATATCGTCTTGCATTTCGACGATGTCGGGCGGCACAATCAACCCTGAATAGCCTGTCCAGAGTGGTCCCATTATTTGGTATGCACTTCGCACCTTCAAAGTGCAAAGTGTTGCTGCAGGACCACCAGCCACTTGATGACCCCTTGACGCTTGCTAACGAGGAACTCGAGGTGGTTGATCATTTCACTTATCTTGGCAGCTGCATCAGCAATGATGGGCGCATAGAAACTGACGTCAGCTCACGCATTGTAAAGGCCAGAGCTACCTTCTTGAACCTGCGGCATCTTTGGCGACAGAAGGGAGTTTCCCTCAGTCTGAAAGGCCGTGTATACAAGGCCACAGTGAGGGCCGTTCTGCTCTATGGTAGTGAGACTTGGCCCCTTCGGTCTGAAGATCTGAGGCGCCTTCAAGTCTTTGATCATCGTTGTCTGCGAAGCATTGCTGGTGTCGGATGGCACCAGCGTGTCCGCAACGATGATGTGCGTAGGCGAGTACTAGGTGGTGATAATCATGCTAGCTCCCTAGAACAACAGATAGCACTGAATAAGTTGCGTTGGCTAGGGCACGTGCTACGTATGCCTGGTCACCGCTTACCTAGGAGGGCCTTGTTTAGTCTGCCAGGTGTAGGGTGGCGCAAGGCTCGAGGTGGACAGAAGTTGACTTGGCAGCGGGAAATGAAGTCACTGACGACCAAACTGGGTGCCGTTGGTCCGTCTCGCCTTCCGGGCTGGAGCCTACGTGGCTCGCCTTGTGCTTGGCTCGAGACTTTACAGGACATGGCTCGCAACAGACACCAGTGGCGCGTCTGCTGCCGTCTCCTAATCGGATTGCCTGTTTAAAGTGTGTTTGGTGCTGAGTTATCTGCGGGTAATGGCTGATTATGATGCGTGGCAGTGAAAGCCGCAAGGAAGTTGTCTCGCCGATGCCGCTTTATCTTTGCACGATAGCCAGCTATTTGCGACGGTATGTTGTCTAAACAAGGTGTAGGCGCCTTGACCCTGAATGTTTGCCTAGGGCATTAAGCTTTTCAGGTAAGTCCCCCTTCTCTCCATCTTCTAATTTTTTATTTCACAGGTCCTCATCGTTGTATGGCAACGAAGCATCAGTTCAAATGGCTGATGTACTGCAGTTGCTGATTATGGTGAGGATGATGTTGACGATGACTGATGATGATTGATGACGATGATGATGACGATGACGATGATGACGACGACGATGATGATGATGACGACGACGACGATGATGATGATGATGATGATGATGATGATGATGATGATGATGATGATGATGATGATGATGATGATGATAGAAGCAGTGCGGATGGGACTAATCCTTCTGTGGTTGGCGCAGTCAGCTCTTTTTGGAGACGGGCACGATATCCGCTAGGCTCCAATAAAATGGAGTAACTTCGGTGACCCAAATCTCCTGGGGGAAGGAGGTTAACGTCCGAACAAGTGAGGAGTCTCCATTTTTGAAAAGAGCCGGAGGAAGTTCATATGGGCCAGAGGCTTTGTAGCGCTTTGAGAGGAGAAGCTCATGGGCAACCACAGTCTCAGATGGTGGTGAAGCGTGTACACACGAGCACTATGGATTCTTGAATGGGAACTCATGGGTTCTGTTGGCCAATTAAAGTACCTCAAAATGCTCGGTCCAACGCTCAAGACGGCGTTTTTGGCAGCGGATGGGCTCGCTATTGGTTTCGCACAAAACTTCACTTACAGTCGGTCATCTACCACCAGTGGATCGGATAAGGAAGAAGAGCTTACGGAGCTTACCCAAAGTGGCCGCTTGCTCCATCTCAACGAGTCGCTGCGTCCCACAGCCATCGCGATCTTCCTGGGGAAGCTGTTTGAGCTCAGCGTTGGTAGTCCTGTGCAGTGAATAGTACTCAACGCCATCAGAAATTGCTCGACGGGCTTCGAGAAGTTGGAGAGATCTACTGGTTGGCAGAGTAATTGGTGAGGCCACAGACTAGGATTGCAGAGTTGCACATGGCGCTGCGGATGTGTATCCAGTGCGTTTTAATAGATGCGCATGAGGCAGCCTTCAGCTTTGAGGCCAATGCATCCTGCAAGGCGCAGAGAACGTTTGGGGCGGAAAAGCTTAATAACGTGAAGACGTTTCCGGCGACACTGCTAAGAGCCATCAAAAGGTAGCGCGTGATCTGAAGTGAGATAGGTACTCCAGCTTGATTCACAACCCTGTATGCATCCCTGCCAGCGTTAACTGATGGCGATGTGGTAAATTTGTGCTTACGGCTGGCAAGGTATTGGGGGTTTCCAGGTGGCGCGTTGGCAACAGGATCGCCGATAGCTAGTGCTCGACAGATAGAGGCCGCGATTGACGCAAAGCTGAAGTAGGCGATCACCAATGTTTGTTCTGCAAATACCATAGTATTGACAACCGAGTTCACTTTCGTCAATTTCAAGGCCACCGACCTGCGCGTTAAAGTCCCCGGGAAGCACCACGTCAGTGCTTCGCATTTTGCGGATAAGGTTGGACCGTTGAACACAGTACTCGTCCTAAACTGAATCTGGGCTGCAATCTGTGGGAGCGTAGGCTGCGACAATGAATAGACAGCGTCTGCTGGCTCCGTTCCTGGACAGTCGCACTGAGGTTACAAGTCGGATCGCGCAGAGTCGACCGTTGACAAGGATCCAGTATGGTAGTGCGGCCCCAACACGTGTGCTCAACGCAATCCCCACGCCAGCATGACCAGCGGCTTCGGCGGTTGAGTCTCCATACAGGCGCAACGGGAAAATGCCAGTGGAACTCGCAGACGGTGAAACCAGTCGTAGCGTCGTGCTAGTCCTGTAAACGGGTCTCACTGAGGCAGCAGAAATCAACGGTCGTAGTTTCTACAGTGTGAGCAAGGGCTGCCTGTGATACGTTTGCATCAGTGCCCGAACAATGAAGGTTGTTAGCTTGAATTGAGAACGGGGAGCTAGAAATGGCTCGCTAACACGACTTGGCGCACCCTCGGGTCTAAGCTCCTGATGCATATGACGAGAACGCTCGTACAAGGTGGCACGGTTGCGGACTAGGAAACGAAGGGGAAAGACCGAGAATGGGGGAAATGAACAAACGCGGAATAAATTGATTAAACGGTGATGCGGTAGAACGCAATTTGGCAGGTTCGGTCGCCAGCAACTCAACCGAGGAGAGTAACTCCATGGGGCGAGAGTGGAGAGAAGAAATATTTAGTCATGGTTGCATAGGTTGTGTGGGCATGGTGCTTCCCGGATGCCCAGGCCGAGGAAGAGAGTTGACTTAGGGGACCCCACTCGGAGCCTTTGGTCATAATACTTAACCCACAAGGCAGCGGGGTGGTTGACATATACTGTGAACCTTTGGAAGCCGGCTATCTAGGTATAAATAACATGGCTTTCGAGTAGAAACAAACTACATAGGGCGCCTGAAGAGCCCGAGTGAAACAACAAGGCCAGGATTCCCTGGACCACCGAACTCCCTGCCAAGCAAGAAGGCCATCGACAGCCAGGTGGCTCTTACGCCTTCGTAGAAGCCGGTGGACATGAAGGTTGTTCATCCGGCCTCTGTTAAGTACTCAGTACTGTGACCAAAAATGAGTGGTGATTTCAAAAGAGATAGGCGATAGCCCAATTTGAAGACTACACTCAGAGGTCTCCGACCACTAGAAGATCATGTGGAGACAGTTCTGCAGGTGTTCCAATATGGTATTCAACACAGATCAGTAGACAGGTGGATTGCGCAAACCGTCGTAACCCATAACGTCCAGAAAAGTTGTGGCAGAAAATTCTCGGTCAGCAAAACATAAATAAATAATCATCATCATTATACACGTCAGCTAGAGGTGGGAAACACCTCAGCTACTGTGCCGCAATACATGAAGGAAAAAGGAAAAGAAATACAACAGTTGCATGCCCAGTTGCATGACCCGAAAAAGATTAGGTGTGCTTACCATTTCCACGATATGTGCTCTGCCACAGGTTGCGAATGATTTTGTTCAAATCTGCCATTTTTGTGGCATGATAAGCCATGATGGCGCTAAAATGATGGAAAACGATGTCTAGGAGGCGAAGAGGCCGGTGAGTAAGTGGACACAAATGTAGTCCTAACAAAGTGACAACCTTCAGATATGATAGAACAACGACGAAAATGGAAAGCTTGACAATTCGTCATGGCGGTGTGATTTCGTATTGCGTCATACAAGCAGTGAATGAAAGCGGAGGATTCAGTGGGGCTGACGCAAATAGTCTGAGTGCAACAGGAAAGCAGTAGGTTTTTAAAGCATTTGATAAGTAAAACCTATAGCAATATGCCAAAATCAGTGCAGGGAAGTTTTAGTGCTAGCTGGTAATGCCATAAAAAGAAAGGTCAAAAGAAATACGGTACAAGCACAGCAAAACTGTGACGAACCACGGTGAGACAGAGATTCAAAGATTTCGGTTAAGTCCCACCAAACACAACTGGCTTTAAAACAGTTCTACACAAACCGGTGGATTCTAAGCCAATTGATGAGCATAGCTATAGCAAAGACGGATAACATTATCTGTAGGCAGACGGCGAACATATAAGATGCCAAGTAATGAACATTTCGTCGATCGAAAGCTCAATAATGGGTGCTAATGGTCCAATATATCAGGAAAGGAAGACAGTTGACAGGCGGTTTTAGCCCTCCTCATACAGGCTAGGAGCAACAAGATCGTAGTTCACCAGGGGCAGTCAGTAACAGCTATGGTGGGAACAACGAGGTGATAAGCGGTTGGGCAGCGATTAGTTTACCAGAATTAAGCTGATCAACCATAGCTGTCAGGAACAGGTGAGAACCAATACTAAGGGCCATGTAACATAATGCGATATTTTCCAGAGGTGTCAAAAAAAGCTTTGATGGATGACTAATGCGTAAAAAGTTTGGGAGTCATAGATCAGCCTGCACTTCAAGAAATGTGTTGGGTCTTGAAACGAAAAATAAGGGGCAAAAAGTGATCTGAAGGGATCAGTTCGAACCGGTTGTAACAAAGCCGTTCGTAGCATCATTAGTTCAATGAAAAGCAAAGTCCTGATGGACCAATGGTACGGTAAAAATGAATGCGAAGTACAAAGCAATCAGAAAGCCATGCAGTCCGGTAAAGATGAATATTCGTGTATTTGCTATAAAACGTTGCGACTAAGGGTCGGGCAGATAAGGCGCATGTCTAGTGATGAACGGGGTCACGGACCGGAGTCTGTGTACGCGCTGGCGACCTCGCAGTATCCAAGCTCGAATGCAGCCGTTGGTGATTGTGTGACAAAGAACCGAGGTTACAAAGTGCCGGTGTACTGCCGATACCTTTGATTCTGTCGATGAGATGTACGCTGCAGAATAAGAAGTTCGGTTAGGACTGCGGTTCGCAATCCTTTTGAGGTTATTACCCACAAATCAGGTTCACTATAAACAATTACCCCTCAAAAATTTAGTTTAAAAAGCCACACGTTGATCGCGGATCACAGTGGCATAGTGCTTATGGTGTCAACCATGAGCCACTAGGCTCTGGAGTTTCAGCCAAACTCAGGCTATCTCCAACCGATGAGTCCCAACCAGGACCAAACCGCAGTCTTGGGGTGTCAGTGTTGGGATGAGCAACATCATAATTTTCATTTTCTTGTACTTCTACTTTAAATTACGAAAAATGAATACTGTTTGAAATTACTTTTAATGATTCAAAGTAAGTAAACAAATATTTTTGAGTAATTCATAAACAATCAAAATGCGATGTATTTAACGAGATGGTTGATACTGATTAGTTCCATAAATTTCTGGAATATTTGGCGCGGTTTCGGCCAATGCACGTCGTAAGTCGTGCTCCAAGTTCATTCGGTTCTGTTAGGAAGGAATACGCGATGCGAACGAGCCAGGACCCCATCGCCGCGGCAGGCGATCCAAACGCACCCGCCCTGATTGGGGCGAACAGAGAGTCAACAGGGAGAAGCGGCCAATTAACGCGAGGGCGGCGCTCCTTGATTTGTTGGAAGTTGACGTTTCCAGAGCTTTCCACGTTCGCTTTAAACACCATTCACGAACTTTTCATTTCACCTTTATAATGAACGGTCTGGTTCGCTAATACATCCCTGTTGCTCCGCTCGTCCGATCCGGTCTTCTCTCTGACCAGCGGGGGACCAGCGACTTCGGGCTTTGATTGGGAATAAGCGTCTATTCAGGCGAATGGACGAACACTTTCAG